TTTCTATTACAAGTACAAATGTTGATATAGTGAAATTGTTCAACAAGGAACCTGAAGCAAAAGGAGGTGGCGGTTCTGCTTTCAAATCAATCCCAATTTGGATTGAATATTCAACAGTCCTTAAAACCAGTCACTGTCTTGTTTCCACTTTTAATTTTGTAAATTCTGATTGGAGAGATCTAAATAATCCTTTGCATTTTGTAACACTGTTTCTAAAGTAAAATGTGAGTTTATTCCAAATCCTTTTCTGTCACTGTAACTTCTTGCTCTTCCATAACATCATCTGCTTCTTCATCAGCGTCTAGAGACATACCTGCCATTATTTCTCTTTGACATCTAGAACATTCACATTCAAAGGCAAAGTGTTCCATCAAATACTTTCTTCTGTTTCCCAATGTATCATCAAATCCCATATAATTTAAACAAACAAAATCTCCTGCCTTAATATTTCTGGTTGTTACGATTTTTTCATCTATTTTCTCACAATTTTCCTCACAAGAATGATTGAAAAGGCACGCCAAACCATACACACCTCCTACAAAACCATTCAATTTGATAGCCATGGTAAGTCTGAGTACTTCCTCAAGCCTTTCCTTGTCGTTTTCAAGATATTCAATTTCTTCCAGTGACATACCTTCAAATTCCTCCTTTATACCAATATTTTGTTTTACGAGTTGTAAATGTTCGAAAAAGAATTCTCTCCATTCTTTGTCAAAAATTTTAGGAGCCTCATCAATTTTTCTAGGATGTAATCCTCTCAATGCATTCTGGAATTTCTTTAAATTCTGAATCAAATGTTTGAGAGTAATACCAACAGTAACAATACTCTCATCTGATGATAAGCATGCACCTGTAATAAATTGATCATGACAGAGTAATGAATCTTTTACAATTGTGACACCTCTATATTCCTCTCTTTCTCCATTCTCATCATAAATTTTAATTACTTCCTCAACAGGTATATCCTCAATAGCTTGTACACAATAATTATCATGAGACAATTTTACAATTCTTAGTCTTGGATCTAAATACCAAAACTTTGATTCTCTCAAATTATTCAAAATAGGTTCAATAGCTTTCCTCTTTTGAGGGAAGTTATTTAAAAAATCATGAACAACCATTATTGCATAAACACAACTGTTCAATTTCCATAATGAGTTAAATAGCATTGTACAGGCATTGGCATATCCAGTAGGATCGCTTTCAATTGCTTTTTCAAAATACGGAATAGCTTGTTCTTGTTGATCTAAATAAAAGTGACCAAGTCCAACCTTGTAGTAAATAACAGCCAAGAGTGTTGTTGCCGTAAAAGATGGACTTGTTATTGGATTAGATTTTCTTGTTTCTACATGATCATTATATAAAATTAATGATTTGTTAAAACAATCTAAAGCCAACTGGTATGATTTGTTATCGAGATGGTTATTTCCTTCAACTATTTTATTTTCTAGTTCATTGTTATCGGAACAATAACGAGAAAGCATTTTTTTTCTTCATCATTCTTGTTGAGTTGATGTTTGGTAAATGAGCAATTTGCGATATTAATAAAAATGACACAAATCAGAAGAGATGGTCCAAAACCTCGCCACCAAAACGATTATGCTTTCAAACACAACAAGGCTTCTAAATTAACTGCTAAAATTCTTTCTACTCCGAATGTTGGACTTTGTAAAAGATGTCACGACATTATTGAATGGAAGAAAGCTTACAGAAAGTATAAACCACTAACACAACCAAGAAGATGTAATGTTTGTCAACAAAAAACTATCACACTGGCCTATCACGTTATCTGTGATGCTTGTGCCAAAAAACAGAAAAAATGTGCCAAATGTTGTGAGTCGTATGATGATAAGTTAGTTGGTGATGAACAATTGGCAGATGAAATTCAAAGTTTGGAAGAGGTTAGTTTCAAAATTTAAATAATTTAACCTATTATTGTGGAAATATTTAGTTGGAAAGACAAATGAGTACAATGAGTCTTAGAAAACAACATAATATTATGAGAGAAGCAGAAAAATTGGCTGAAGAAGATAGAAAAAAGGATGCTAAGGATGGTAATGGCCTCGATAATGATGATAGTGATGGTGACAGCGATGACGAGTTTTCCGATGATGAATAATTGATGAATTTTAATGATCATCACAACCTCACTCATCATATCCTCCTTTCATTGAAAACAGGTCATACGTGAGACGGCAGAACATGTAAAACAACTTGAAGATTTACAACGAGATTGACATAAAGTTGACTTGAATTTAATTTATAAACTATTTTCAATATTTGCAAAGAGAGTATCTAGATCAGAAATATCGTGCTCTTCAATTAAGTCTGATTGAATATCGAAGAGTGGTGGTAAATTGTTGATGGATTCAATTATTTCCTCGCCGTGCTGAAAATCAATAAGAGTATCACCACAGAATTCTTCGTCTGAATTCAGTATTTTGAGTTCAGTAGCTTCTTCAATGAGATTGTTATCAATAGAATGAAGAGATTGTTCATTAGAAGACAGGGTCAATTCTGACACCATGGAAAAGTCATTCAATAATTCATCAATTTCATTAAAATTGAGATCGACGTTCTGTTGAATTGAAGGAGTGTTTGGAAGGAAATGATCTTCTGTGACATTTTCTTGCTGAGTGGGAAATAGGAGTGAATAAATTAAACCATGATCTTCTCTCAAATCTGTGTATGAGCTATCTAAATTAGCTTCATCTTCTGGAAATGTGCAAGAATTAATTTGGTCAATTGAATAGAAAGTAGAAGAGTCCAAACTTCCAGCTCTGTTTCTTTTTCTATTATCTTTGGTTGAATGATCAGAAGCAGCATGCACACTATTTCTTCTTTTCTTCCTTTTTTTTGGAGAGGTTTCAACTTGATTCTTGAAGGACTGTTGCTTTCTTTTCTTTGAGGCCTGCTTTTCAAAGGATGTATTGTAATTGGCAGTAAAATTGTTGTGAGGGGAAGAACTAATGAATGTAAACGAACAAGGCTTCTCTTGAGAAGGTTTCGATTCATCGAAAGACTTTTGCTTCTGTCTTTGTGTACAAATACTTGATACTCCTTCAAGTTGATTGGCTGATGGTTCTAAGATATTAAAATCTTCACATTCTTGTTGCGGAAATGAGCTTGAATCGTTGGAATCTTCATTCTTAAAGACAAAGAAGTTATTTTGAAAAAGCTCATTGTTTCTAAAGTGTTTGTTAACTTTTAAACATTTATGTCCTTCGTACTTAATTTTGAAAGCAACATCTTTTGTCATATCAACAAATGTCAAAGAGTTATTGTTATTTAGAGGAGATTGAAATTCAAAATAGTGCAGTGAAGTTTCGGCTTGATCTTCCATTTTTTTCTGTTAGAATGCCTTAAGATTGCTCTAAAAACTTCAAGATAACGTACAAGAATCAGATATCATATTTTACTTTTAAAGAATTTGCTTATAATTATTCAATTTTCCAATTAGTGTAAAGTCTTTTAAAGTGCTGCTTTGTTTTACAACAAACTTGGCGCCACATTTTTCCCGCCACACTTTTAAAAGAATCAGTTAAAAAAAATGAAAAGACGTTCACACGAAGAAAGTGACAGTGAGCAAGAGGAAGATTTTGATGTAAACACCTCTGCCATGAGCGATGAGGATGAAATATCAGCCTCCCCTCAACAAAAGAGACATAAATTATTTAGTAGTACAAAATCGGGTGATGTGAAAGAAATTTCAATACTTCCTGATGATTTTAAAAGCAAAATTCCCTTCATCGAACAACAGGACCAATTCATCAAGAATCAGACAGTGGGATTTTCTTTAGAAGGAAAGAGCAAACTGGATTTTTATTTTGTTGATTCTTGTGAACTTGATGGTAGAATTATTTTGTTTGGTAAAATCGAAACCCTTCCAAATAATTACGCCAGTTGCTGTGTCAGACTTGAAAAAGTACAAAAAACTATCTATTTTCTTCCTCGTGAGCCAATAGAGGCAAAACTTGTCAATCAAGAACAAGAATCAAGAATACAAGAAGAATTATCTGAAGTATTGAAAATTTCACCAGAGAAATTTGGTTTTAAATTCAAGGAAAGAAAATACATATTTGAGGATGCTGATGTACCATACAACAAGAGCATTACCATGGTTAAAGTTGTTATATTTGATGTTAAGAATTTAAAACCACATTTACAAGAGTTTAGAGGTTCTAAGTTATTCAGCAAGGTTTTCCACGCAACTACTAGTGGATTGGAAGAATTTATTTTGAAAAGAAAGTTGATGGGACCTTCATGGCTTTCTATTCAAAAATTCCATGTCAAATCATCCGGTCAATTGAGTTGGTGTAAATTTGAAGTTAGTACAGATGAACCAACAAATATTTCTGTTATCAATGATGATAGATCACCACCTCCATTGGTTTTAATGTCATTGAAAGTTAAAACTATCCACAACGAAGAAAAGAAAGTTAACGAAATAGTTGCTGTTTGTTGCATACTTCAAGAGTATTCTTTTACCGGTCAGCAAAGTCAACGAAAGAAGTTCATTGTTGCCAGAAAAGTTGATGACAATTCAGTTGACTCTAATGGAATAGAACTAGAATTTAATGAAACATCCCTCATTAATCGTTTGATGGCTCAAATTCAACAGTACGACCCAGATATGTATATTGGACACAGCTTCCTTAGTTTTGAACTTGATATTATATTGCAACGTTGGAAAGCTCTTAAGGGAACAGATGGAGTTTTGTGGTCTCGTGTTGGCAGATTGAGATTAAGTCGATATCCTATGCTTCAACCATTGCCAGGAGGTATGAATGAGTCTACCAAATCTGAAAAAGAGTCTCTTGCTGGTAGATTAGTATGTGATACATATATCGCTGTTAAGGAGTACTTAAGAGAAAAGTCATATTCTCTTGAAGATTTAAGAGTTTCTCAATTGGGAGAAACTCCTCTCGAGAAGGATATTCGTAATCCTCTTTATGATGGTAATCTGATTCTGACAGCAAAATATTTTTCAAGTGTTGAGGGTGTAGAAAAATTCTGTGCCTTTGTAGAACATGATGCACAAGTGTCAATGGATTTGATGGAAAAATTAAGTTTAATCCCTCTTACCAAGGAACTTACAAATGCAGCAGGTAATTTATGGAATAGAACTCTCATTGGATCTAGAAGTGAACGTATTGAGTATCTATTGCTTCATGAGTTCTACAAACAAAAATATATTTTGCCAGACAAATCACGTGCTTTTGGAAAACGTGGTGGCAGAAAACCAAAATATTCTGGTGGTTTAGTTTTAGATCCTAAATCAGGTTTTCATCACAATTATGTACTTCTTTTGGATTTCAACTCTCTTTACCCATCTATCATTTTGGAAAATAATATTTGTTTCTCTAATTTTTTATACACTGAAGAAGAGAGAGAGGAACACAAGAATGATAAAACCGTATTGCCTCTAGTTATTGAAACACTACTTTCAAGAAGAAGACAAGCTCAAAGACAAATGGAACAAGCAACTGGTGTACAAAGATGGCAATATGACATGCGTCAACGTGCTTTGAAATTGACAGCAAACTCTACCTATGGTTGTTTAGGTTTTACTTTTAGTAGATTTTTTTGCAAGCAAATGGCAGAATCAATTACAGTAGAAGGAAGAAACATTTTGACTCAAACTAAACAATTAATTGAGAATAGTTTGAGATTCAGCGTTATCTATGGTGATACTGACTCTGTTATGATTGCCACCGACACTACAAACTATGATGAGGCTCTATCTAAGGGTGAGGAAATCAAAAAGGAAATTAACAATTCCTTTAGAAAAGGTAAAGGAAAATTGGAAATTGATATTGATGGTTTATTTAGAAGAATGTTACTCCTTAGAAAGAAGAAATATGGTGCCCTAATTCATACTAAAAATAAGCAAGGCACAATTATCCCAAAACTTGAACTTAAAGGCCTTGATATGGTCAGAAGAGATTGGTGTGATCTTTCTAGAAACGTTTCTCAATACATTATTGATCAAATATTAAGACCAAATGAACCTGTAGACTGCCAAACACAACCAACACCAGAAGAAATAGTTGCTAACATCCATACCCACCTTAGAGAAATTGCTGACGATGTAAGAAATAATAGAGTTCCACTTGAACAATATATTCTCACAACAGCACTCACAAAAGAACCTGAACAATATACAGATGCCATTAATCATCCTCATGTTCAGGTTGCTTTAGAAATGAGAAGAAATGGTCAAGCTGTTAGACTGCATCAACGTATTCCCTTCGTTATCACCTTAAGAAAGGATGGTACTTCTTCCTCCAAAGTTTCTGAAAGAGCTGTTCATCCAGATACCTTCAGAGCAGAGCAAAAAGATAATAATTTGGAACTTGATTATGAATGGTATCTTGCTCAACAAGTATTCCCTCCAGTTTCTCGTTTGTGTGAATATTTACAACAAACAGACAAAGCTCTGATAGCCGAATGCTTGGGACTAGAGAAGAAATATTTCAGAACTAGCTATGGTGACGATGATAACATGGAAGAGTATAAAATACTCTCTAGGCAGGAAGAATACGATGAATTTGAAGGTATTGAACTACCTGTCAACTTTACTTGTGATCACTGTTCGAACAAGGTAAACCTTGACCTTGTTTCAACTTTGACGAATGCTATTAGCACAACAGATACAGACATGATGCAGAGTATTACCATTCTTGATTGTCCTCATTGCAAATCTAGAATGTCCACAAACAAAATTGTCAATCTTTCACAACTAAATATTAGAGAACTCATCAAGAAATATTACTCAAATGAGTTAAAGCCTTCTGCTAGTAACTATAGAGCCAACATCTCGGATTCATCGACTCATGTTATATCTATGCAACCTGGGGGTTATGGCGTTTTTAATGGATCTGTTGTATCTGTCAAACAAACCTTTACTCCTCAAGATCTGCAGGTTAGATTGAGATATTTAGCTCGTATGTTTGATTGGTCTTCCTGTGTAAAAGCAACTTTCAAGAAAATAGACAAGGAACAATATTCTTCATTAGAAAAATTGAAAGCTGTTGTACAAGAAATGCAAAAACAAGAAATAGACGAGCTTGGCAAAATCTACAAACATGTTTCCAAATACCTACAAAGAAACGCCAGACAAATGGTAAACCTTTCTGATTTATTTAAACTTGTAAGCGTTGATAATTAGATTTACACTGTAAATCCTGAATATTTATAAATTAAATCCAAATAGACTCCACTTATAACAACTTTTGTAATGCTCTTTTTCTGAAGTTGAAAAAGATTTACCACAAAAATAACAAAACTTGGTGTTACACTGAGTACAAAGCATCGAATTACAACCTCTAGTTTTTTGAATTACGGCCCCACATGTTGGACAAACCTTTGCCCCTTGATCTTTCATCCACTCTTTGAATTGTTCGTCTTGTTTTGTTTTGGTTCGCTCTTCATTTTCTTCACAAGTCAGACCTGCATGCCATTTTTGCATACATTTAGAGCATGAATCCCAAGAACAATGAGAGCAATGCACTTTGATAGCTGGCATTTTCTTTCGGAAAGAGCTAGAAAGTTGTGGATTAGGAGAAGTATTTTGTGTTGTGTGGGGTTTGTGTTTTACAGTTGAAGGAGATAGAGGAAGAGGTGATGTGGGAAGGTCAGAGTTAATATTTGGACTCTCTACTATAATGGCATTTCCACATTTTGGATTTGGACACCACACTAAATCTTTCATACCTCCTAAAGCTCTCTTTAGAGAAAATTCTTCAAATTTGCTGAACAAATTTTCATCTTCTGCTTGTGAGTAATGTGATTGGGATATCTTGTTAACTCTACCTTGGCTCAAAATCTGTTTGACTTCAACTACCGTTAATTGTCTATCACATTCTGGACATTTAATACTATCCACCTCTCCTTTTTGAATCTTATCTTTAACATAGTCATAAATGCACGTACAACAGAATCTATGTTCACAATCCTCCATGAAGAAAACAGTACCATCTGTTGGTCTATTATCCTCATAACAAATGGAACAGGTAATGACACTAGAACCATCATCCATTGGCATGTGATTATGTTCGTCTCCAGCCAATTTTAAATAATTTACAACTCTATCATTTTTCAGCGGATCAGAAACGCTCAAACTAAAAATATCATTATCGAATGATAACTCTGTGTCATCAATCTCCTTATTAGTTACACTTGGTTCCTCGTTTACCTTAGTGGTAGTGGAAAACATTGAATTAATAAATGAGCTTAATATTTCAACATTAGTATCTGTTGTAGAAGGCGAAGCAGTTGGTGTTTTGTTGATACTTAATGATGCTTTCTTTTGAAGTTTTTTAGGATGGTTCTTCATATAGTCCATATTTTTTTCCAGTAATTCTCTTAATAGTGAGTGTTTTACCCATCCATCGTATGATAACCATCCATCATTATCATCTTCTAAAGAATCATTCATTGAAATCTCCTTATAAGGATAAATTTCAAGAAAACACAAACAATTTCTTTTTTCTACTAAGGTACACAATTTTGCTATCTGATCCTCTCCAATTAGGTCGTGTCTTAAATCCAACTTAATTACAGAAGAGTTTGTGTTTTGAATAAGTGCTGATATTATCAAATCACATCCTACAGCAGTTATACCAGTCTGAGCGAAATTTACATATGTCAATGAAGTATTTTTTGATAACATGTTTGCTAAATGTTGAGCTCCAGCTAAACCTATTTCTCTATTAAAACTCAAATCTAGCTCCTTTACAGAAAATGAACCAGTATTATTAAAATTTTTCAAATATTGGGTAGAAGGGGACATGAAGGCGTTTGAAACGTATTGAGCTCCTTTAGATGTCAGCTTATTTCCGCTTAAATTCAATCTTCTTACAGAGGAACCAATAGACCAAGGTGGAAGTAGGGTCCAAGCCACTGCCTTGGCATCCTCATCACCAAGTCCTATTCCTACAAGATCCAATCTTACAACAGCTGTACCTTTCTTTATATGCTCGGTGTATAGGTCCAAAACTGTTGGGATAGGATCAATAATGGGTATTGTACAATTAGATGTAGATAAATAGGTTTGAGTTTGTCTACACATTTGAACATATCTCTCTATGATCCTATACTCAACTCTTCTTTGATGATGTTTTTCATTAAATATTTGTTCTAACTCGTTGGAATAGAAAATTAGCTTATAAGGATCATCTTCAAGAGTAATTTCCACAACAGAAGTGTATTGTCCAAAAGTTGCTGTGGGAACTGTTTTTACATTTACAGTTTTAACTATGTGGTTAGAGCTGTAAAATTCAGCACTAAATAGTTGAGGATAAAAGTATGACATTTGACTAAAAGTTTGATTCTGTGGAAATTGGTAAATATCACCAGTTGGAGGAGGTGGCATAACATATTGTGGATGTTCTTTGCCAGTGATTGGAGTACCTCCAGGCTGTCCGTAATATCCTGAATTTTGATTCGGGTTTGAATTGTTGAAAGAATTTGAAGAAGAATAAAAACTCTCATGATGTACACTCTGAGGTGTTTGATAGGAAGAAGGTTGAAAGCTAATATCATATCTAATATTCGATGGATCAGATAGTGTGACATTATTATTGATTGAAGTAGTTGTTGGTGGGTTAAGAGCAGGACTTCCTGGATCAACCATCACAAAATCATCCACTATTCTTGTTTTTGTTGTTCCAATCTTGAGTTGTGGGTTCTTTTTAGATGTTTGGATCGTATTACTGTTGATGTATGTTTGAGATGGGGTTGGTAGTACGGAATCGTAAGATTCAAAACTTGGATAAATATTTGTAGCTTGTTGTGGGTTTAAAGTGGGGTTAGAGATTGGTAAATTGATGTTATTGTTGGAGATTAAAGGTCTTTTTACTCTCACTTCATCTCCAGGAATAAATTCGCAATATAATTGCAATTGTTGCTGTGGATGAAATTTACTTTGTACATTATAATTTTGATAGTTTGATGACCCTACGGAGATGGTGTTATTGTTTGCATTAACTGTACTTGACGATGTATTATTATTTCCCATGTTTTTGGCAAGGGAGAGTTGATTGTATTTTTTAAATGTGTTCTATTTACTTAGCATTTCCTCCTTAGACTCTTGGAATGAAACATTCTAATAGGAGGTGTTTTGTTTTCTTGACTGTTTTCTTGTTCGATACAATTTTCAAAATATGTATTGTCTAGAAAATTTGTATCAATGGTTGCCTGAATATTGTTGTTTTTCAAGTTAAGAAATGCAACTTCATGAAATGCTCCATTTTCTTGACCTCCTCTGAAAAATCCTTCTGATTTTTGGTCAATCTGGTCTTCTCGTTGATATCTAGAATGATCTTGCCTGATTTGTTTTTCAAGTTTCTTGATAGAATGTCTTCTTTGAATATCTTGTTGTTTTACAAGGCTTCTATTTACAATTTCATTCCTTATTGAGTGATTATCCTCCACCAAGGCATTATAGTTATATCCACTAAGAACTCTCTTTTGTTCCTCGGCTAGATCTTGCATTTGTTTTAATAATTTTTCTGAATTTGAAAACAATCTTTTGTCTGCATCTTGCTCCGTTCTCCTCAACTCAAAAAACATATTGTGTATGTCTTCTGTTTGTATTCTTATAAAATCTCTCGGATTCCTCAATCGAAATTCGGAAAGAGGTGTTAGAGATTTGTTGTTGGAGTCGGTCATTTTTATTTTGTTTGATAGAACATAGTCCAACAATAAATAGCATTATTGATTTGTATTTATTGTTGTTTAAGTAATTTACAGAGTTGTAGAGTTGTGGGTTATTAACCATTCTTAAAGTACCTAAAGAAATCAGGATCATCCTCTTCACAAACCCTAATGGAAGTACTTTCAGGTAGTTTTTTCCATGCAATAAAGAGCTCTCCAATTTCTTCTCCCCTATCATCCAAACTGTCATCACCAAGATCTACATCATAACCAATCATTACAAGAATGTGATCTTCATTTTCAGGCAGCATAACATAACACATATCATCTAAAATATCCTCACTATCAAAATAATCAAACTCGCTAAATGATCTATCTTCATAACTGTACAAAGTTCCAGTTTTGTAATTTTTCATTTCCTTTTCAGTTTCAGGATCAACAGGTTCGCCAGATGTTGTTTTAATTTGATTCATTAACTCCATAGCATCCTCTTGTGTCATTTGAAGATACTTTAAATCTTGATATTCGGTAGGGGCACGCCTAGTATCAATTTCTAAAGAATTTAAAATTTGGTTGAATTCATCATTTTCTTGACCTTCTTGCATTTGAATGCATGCATTCAAAGAATTAGGAGAGTATGATCTCAATATCTCAATAAACTTGTTGGCAGCTTCTAAGAGTTCGTTTGTACTTTGTGATCCAACCCAAAGGAACAAATGACTCTTTGATTGAAGCAAGAAACATGTTCTTGAATCTAAATGTCTAGTATTGTGACATAGCTTTGGAACTAATTCTTTGTGAATGGCATAAAAGTTATTTAGAGGACTAATGCGATAGAGATATGCATTTGGTTCTTTTTTTGACTTATCACTCAATCCTAGTATTGTTTCCCATTGAGTAAGTTGTACTAAAAAACCAGCATTAGGAGAGCAACATGCTCTCTTTGTTTTCACATCCTCTAGTGCTTGATTAAAGTTCATTCTATATTTCCACATCATATATGAAATACATAAACAGCATGATCTGGAAACTCCCATTTGACAATGTACATAAATTTTACCGCCTTTCTTGATTGCATTTTCAATAAATTCTATAACTCCATAAAAAGAACCAATGATAGATTCGTTAGGATCATCATATAAGCTGAGAGAATAGTAAGTAAAATCATTAGGGAAATAATTATCACAATAAACACTAGCAGCTGCATTAATTATATGAGTAATTCCGTTATCATTTAATTTCTTCTTGTCTTGTGCTACAGCAGCGCTTCCAAGAAATAGGAAATCAGTAATTTTAGAACAAACATAATGGCAGGCTTTTGCTAATTCTCTTCCACTCATTACTTTGGGTTCCTCGACATGTTCAACTTCACGAGTATTGATAGGACTTAGTTGGGTTCTCTCTTTTTTTCTTGGAGATTCTAGTGAATCCTCATGATTAGTAACACCAGCCATTGGTCGCTTTCGTAATTGTAGCAAACTGTTGAGTTTCTCATTGGAATTTTCATCGGGTGGTGTTGTAGATAACTCATCAAACAAAAATTTACATTTGTTGATATTATTAACTCCTACCATTAAAGATCTAATTCGGGAAAGTAAGTGATGGTTTTTTGATATTGAAATTGATGGCACGTTAGAAGGATAAGTAGCATTACCAGATTTGATTAAATCTTCAAAAGATTGAGGTTTTCCGGATGTGAATAAACTCTCTACAATTGATGGTTGTTGTAACTGGGATTCTAATTTTAAAGCTTTTTCAATAGTTCTACTCTTTACAAAATCGGTTGATTCTTTACCATACCATACGTATAAATCAAAGTTAAACCTGTTGTTTTGATCAATTCTTGAACTAGAAAATGGATGTTCCAAGCCACGAGGAGTGAATGACAGATCATGATAACTTTGATCTTTAAATGAGCCAATAGTTCCCCAAGTGAATAATTGCTCTATCATTTTAAAGTTATTTTCATCCCTGGTCTCATCACGGTTCTTGGTTTGTTGATCTAGGTGTTGGAATAAATGTATGACAATATAGCATGATGATACTTTAAATTTTGAATCTTTTCCATTCAAAAGAGGAAATGCTCTACATTTAAAATCTTTCTTCCAAGGTTTGTTGCTATCAGTACCAAAAGGAGAATCATCAAAACATTCATAAATTTTAATATTACTAGTGTATTGTGATGGTGATGAAGATGATGAAAGTTTAGCGATGTTTTCAATTTCTACTGGTTCGTTATCAATAGATATAGAGGAAAAAAAAGAATCAGTTGGTTTTTGTATCATGCCTTCATCTTCAGAAATATTGTTTTGTGCTGAAGTATTTGACATATTTAAAGAGATGTTCAATTTTGATATCAAAGGAACAGAAGCAATATTAGGTTCTATTTGTGAATTTTGTTGTGTAATTGTTGTAGGTTGTACATTTTGGTTATCAACCTCCTCGCCAACCGTAACAACTTTAGCAAGAGGGAGAGAGAGACTGAACCCTTTCATTTTTAATATTTTTTTAATAAAAGTAAAATGGATATGATGAAACAATCAACTATCATAGATGGCAAACAATACTTGACAATTAATTATGCATGATTTACAGGCCTATTACATATAATAATAACACATTAGATTTTTTAATGGTATTAGCAACATTTAATGAAATTATTAATGAAAGAGCAGAACGGGTTAGAGGAAACGACCAAACTTGTCTAAATTCCTTAAAACAAACCTTACTATTTAGTTTTCAAAACATTGTAATCAAAATATGGCATATGATTACTCGAGTCATCACTCTCTAGTTAATGAAACCTCCCCATTCATTACGATGAATTATAATGTTGACCTTTTCAAAAAAAACAAAGTCAGGTGTTGAATAACAAGTGTGGACTCCTCCAAAGTTATCTTATAACCGAAAAGGCTTCAATTCAATTTAATTACAATATATTTTCACATTTCGCATTGTGAAACATCAAAAAAAAAATGAGTAAAATTACACTCGAACAACTTCAAGAGCATGATGGAGTAAAGAACACTCGTTTATGGACAGTTCTCTACGATAAAGTTTATGATTTGACGGAGTTTGCCGATAAGCACCCTGGTGGTCGTGAGATGATAGAATCTGCTTGCGCCCGTGATGCTACTGCCTTGTTTGAATCATACCATTTATCATCCGAATCAATTGCAAGATCCTACCTCAAAGGCACTGGAGGTTCTATCAAGTATGTGGGAGAGTTCGATGTTGAAAGTGCCAAAGTAGGAAAGCTTCCTCTTAATCAAGATGAACTACCAAATGATGCTGCAATTAAATTCACTTTCCAATCACCTCTTTCTGGCCCAAAGCAATCAACAAACAAAACAAATATTTATGAAATTATGAAACAACGTATTAGAGATGAATTAATTAAGAATGAAAGTAGTGGATTCAAAAAGAACATAAGAAGAGTTTCAGGCCTTAGACTTTGCAATGCAATTTTTATTTTCACAGGTCTATTAACTTGCCAAATTCTCTCTCAATATTTTCCATCAATCAATTTGGGAGTTGCAATTTTATTGGGTTTATTAGCTGGTTTATTCCATCATCTTGCATTGGTTCATGTAGTTCATGATTTAGGTCATGGTTCTTTCACTGATTTTCCAACAGTGTGGAGATTGATTGGTAATTTTGGATCATATGTTTTGGGCCAATCCTTTTATGTTTGGACCATTAGACATAATGTTGGTCATCACGTGTATGTATTAGGTATTTTTCTTTTCTAATTATCAAAACAGTTATACTAACATGAGTGAGATTGATCCTGATGTTGGTGTCTACACTTGGAACAGACACATTGATAATACTCCATCTTCAGCAACTAAGGCCACTTGTTCAAAAAATGAAAAGGTTGATTTGATTGCTAAAATGTATTCTGAACCAAAGGATTATACATCTGTTCCTGTAGATATCATGGCAAAGACTGGTTCTTTTGGATCATTGCCTTTCTTGTATGCTTCATTGATCTTTTACATGCAAATTGTTGATTTTATCCATTATTGGACAAGACATGTCAGTGAAGGTATTGCATTTGCCACACCCACATTTAGCTCTACTACTTTCCATTTCTATGGAAGTAAGATATTCTTCTTTATTTATAGAATAGTTTTACCAATCTTTTTATTTAACAAGACAGGGGGTTTAATTGGTCGTAATGTTATGGAAACTGTTTTGACCTTTATTGCTACTGAAATCGTTGCTGGAGTAATGTTTGGCTTCCTTTCTCAAATTAATCATATCTCTGAAAAATGTGCTTGGCCATCAAATGCTATTAATGAGATGGTCGATAACAGCAATGAAGGCAATGGTGGAAATGACGATTTGGATTGGGCTGCTATTCAAGTCACTACCTGCATTGATTATTGTCATGACAGTTACCTCTGGACATATCTTTCTGGTTTTTTGAACTACCAAGTTATTCATCACTTATTCCCTGGTATTAATCCATGGTTGTACCCAAAAATTTTACCAATTGTTAAAAAGGTATGCAAGGAAAACAATGTCTCCTATACTATTTACAACAAATTTTCTGATGCTTTGGACAGCCATGTAAGACAATTAACATCATTCTCTAAGAAGCAATTATTGAAAAGTAAAATTTTAGATCATTAAATAATTATATTTAATGTTAGCGATAAAATAATTTTCCCTCAAACAATTAATATTAAATATTTAATCTTTGAATTAGAATAATATTTTTATATAATAAATTGATTGAATTTTTATTTCCAACAAATCTTTAAAAAATGCTCAAACATTTATTACCTGCCCTCACCAAAGCTACGGGAAGACAGCTTTCCAGGAAGGAGCAATGTATGTTTTTAATATTACACTTATTCACAATTATTAGTGATGTACTTATCAATTCTTAACCACATTAATACAAACAAATTCCTTTCTTTCCAACCTTTGGAACAAAACAGAGCCTTCACTTCGTCTACTAAAGTTCTTCTTCGTGTTGGTTCAAAACCATCCAATGAAGATGATTATAATTTGAGAGAAAAAGCCGAAAGAATTAAAAAGATGAAGGCTGAGGAAAGAAAGAACAATCCTCCTCCACCACAACCAGAAGAAGCCGAGGAACAAGAAGAAGCTTCAACAGCTGAAGAAGAAAAGAAAGCAGAAGAACCAAAGAAAGAAAAAAAGACAAATGAAAAAAAGGATTCACAACAAGAACAAAAGACAAATGAAAAAAAGAAAACAACTGGTGCAGACTATGAGGATATGGGAGACCAACAAGCTACTGAAAAAATTCGTACAAAACCAAACTGGCATGCATATGGTGTAAAATATTCACTTCCCTTCTTTATGATGATGGGACTCTATGCAATGTATGGATTATACTCCGAAATAGGATTTAGCTTTGATAATTTGAAAGAGAAAATTGATGAACTCATGGCACCATTAACCAAACCAACCAATTCTAAACTCCTTCCTGATCTTGCAGAAGGATCTCCTCAAAAACCTGTTTTGATTTTAGCAGTCGAAGACCTTTTGATTCATACTTATTACACACCACGTACAGGTTGGAAAACACAAAAACGTCCTGGATTGGATAATTTCCTCAAGACAATTAGTCAATACTATGAATTGGTATTTTTCAGTGAAAATTATATGACATCTGTTCAACAAATTATTGAAAGACTTGATCCAAATCAATATGCTCACAAACTCTTCAAGGATTCTACAACTATGGAGAATGGTAAAACTATTAAGGATCTGTCATTGATGAACAGACCTATCGAAAGGATTGTTTTGATTGACCACCGTGCTGAAGCCTATAGTAAGCAACCTGAAAATACACTTGTTGTTGAGCCATGGAAAGGAGATACATCCGACAGATTACTGACAGATTTAGTACCATTCTTGGAGCTTGTAGCCAGTAAATCTGGTAAAATTGATGTGAGGACAATTTTAAATGAATACGGAAACAGAGACAAACCAGCACAACAAATAGCTCGTGATTTTATTACAAAATTACAAAACATTAAGAAAGCTCAACAACAACAACAACCTGTTGAAGACAAGAAACAAGCTTCTGGTGGCTGGTTCGGATTTAGAAAATAAATTGATAATAAAAAATGAACAATTATCAAGAGGAAAATCATTTGCAACTTGATGATAATAAAATATTTACGAACAGGGTTTTATTCTCATCTTGTGATGAAGATGCAAAACAAATGAATGAACAGAGGAAATATAAAGTACTTTGTTGTGGAAGAAACTATTATGGACAATTATCAATATCAAACAATAACAACAATAGTACCAAGTGGATTTCTACAGTAGAAGAAACAGCTAAAAACATTTTAAAGGAAATTAAACAGATAGAACTAGGAGCAAGCCACTCTATGATATTAACATTTGGGAATGAATTGTGGGTGTGTGGTATGTTATAATTTATTATAAATTGCCAGGTGACATTCTTTTTAGGATGGTGAGTAATAATTTCTTGAATTTTATTTAAATTTCAAAGGAATTACAGTGGGCAATTAGGTTTGTATTATTATTTTAATGTTTTTGACAAAAGTGAATAATAGGTTTAGGTAAATATATTTTCTTTTGGATTTTTAGAAACTTTTAGGTCACAACGAAAGTGTTCTCGAATTTATTCAAGTTATGGGAGTGAAATCTCTGTCCATTAAAGCAATAGCCAGTAAATCGTATCATTCTGCTTTATTGACATTGGACAATCAAGTTTATTGTTGTGGAGGTAAATTTCAAATTAAGTTTATAGTTAATAATTTTTAGATAACGAGTTTGGTCAATTAGGGATTGGTCAATTGATAGAATGTAATACTTTTCATCCCACGAATGCCAATCAATTTTGTGAAGAAATAATATTGCTTAAATGTGGACTTCATAAAACTGGATTCCTAACAAGATCTGGAAAATTATATCTTGCAGGAAATAATCAAAATGGACAATTGGGATTGCAAAATGTCACTATAGTGCCTTCATTTACCCATATAGATTATATTACAGACTCAGTTAAGGATTTCGGATTTGGGCATTCTCATACAGTGATTTTAACAAGAAAGAATACAATTTATTCTTGTGGAGGTTTGTTTCAATTTTTAGTGATGACACTGAATATTAGATTAATTAGAAAATACATTTGGACAACTTGGATTTCCTGACTGTATTCAGAGAAATACTTTTACACCCGTTAATATTAATATTGGTTGGATTGACATGATTTCTGTGGGAGCTTCACATGTACTTATACTTAATCGAGTTAACGAATTATATAGCTTTGGGAATAATATGTATGGACAATTGGGTGTCTCAAAGTGTACTGAGCTAACAAGCGGATATTTAAACAAAATAGAATTCAAGGAGAAAATCAAATTTATCAAATGTGGAAATTTTCGTTCAATATTAATTACAGATAGAAATGAGTTTTATTTTTCAGGTTTGTTATTTTGTAATCTCTATTATAATTATTTCTTTTAAGGGAGAAACGATTTTGGACAATTATCCCTTGGTGACAGAGTAAACAGGTTTGGATTTTGTAAAATTCCTCTTCCAGATATTAAAGAGGCTGAGGGAATTAATGATGTTTCCTTGGGAGACTGTTTCACATTCTTCTACCACAGGAAAGATGAAATGGGAGAAATAAGTAGATTTTTATGCCGATTGAAGCATGTTATCCTATCTGGGAAGTGGAGTGATATTATGATTAATAATACCCTCTCTTGTTGATAATTGATGCAACGTAAACCCACACACTACAAATATCATTAGCATATGGCTCTACATACACAGCTAGTGCAAACTTTACATCCGGCTCATATGTATCGTATACCATGGTGTTTCGTACTTCTGTAACAATTTCCTCAATATCCTTGAAACAAAAATTAAGGGGAAAACCATTCACTGCACTTGATTCATTTACAATGGCCAAAACTTGTTGTTGGTTTTCATCACTTAGTGCTTGGTCTAGCTTTTTGCTTGCTTCGAAACTTTGTAAAAGCTCTTTAAATGTTTTGCTAACAGAGTTGTCCCATATCGTAGCTTTGTGTCTCCATAAAGAAAATCCTTCCTCAATTGCTCGTCTAATATCTTGTTCTAGTCTTATGCTATTATTTGGAGAGCACTTATTGTATAGTAGTTTCTTATATTGAATCTTTCCTTTTTGATCGCAACATTCTTTAGCAATCATCCTGTTAGAATCTCTTGTTGGGTTATATAGAGGATAAAATAGTGAAATATCATTAAGATCAAATTTCATCATGGATGGCTGGGCATGTTTTTGCACATTAATCCAAATATTTGTTTGGGATGCAATTAAGTGTATTTCTTGAAGGGGACAAAGAGGATCATCTACTGAATATTTCTCTCCGGTTACTGAGTTCCACAACAATAAACACTTTCTATTTTCCTGATACGAATGGTTATTGTTATGTGTAATTGTTGCGCTGGTTTCAACTGTAAGAACATATGCAGTATCTCCTTCTGGGACACCTTTTCCAAGAACAAAGAAAGTTGTTTTACCCAAACTAAGGAAATAGTTGCACAGAAGAATTGAATGTTCTTCCCAATCACCAGCCCTTGTATCTAAAAACTCTTGGGATCCAATCCAAATATCTCCTGCGTCAAACGTTAATGAATCGTTTAAAAGAGGAATGAGGGATACAAATCTTGCTAGTTCAGAAGCTGTCTGTAATTCAGGAGGAGGGTCTTGTGGAGTAATGTACCTTGTAAGTAAAGTTGCCTTTCCTTCAATATTTGGAACAAGACATTTCACATTCCTGGTTTTTGCATATTTGGACTTTCTCACAACTTTAGACCACCACTGACAGTAAGAATACACTTCAGGTCCCTCTCCAGTAATTATGAAATCTTCAACTTTCTCTGGTCTTGGCAAAGGAGGATCCAGTGTAATACAGACGGTTAAGGCTGTGTAAGCGTTCTGATCATTAACAGATTTTCCATAGCCCAGATAGAGAGGAGGTGTTTTAAGTCTAAAGGTACCAATTATTTTTCCGTTTTGGTACAGAGTAGAGAATGGTACTGAGTAAGAGCCTAACCACTTAAATTCAGCTCTTTGATTTATGGTATTGTAATCTCTTTCGTCTCTTAGGCCTTCAACGGTTATTTCATCAAAAACATCAAAGTAAATTTCCTTATCAATTAATTTCAGTGATTCTGGGCTATAGTCATTATTTACAGTTTTTAGAGGTATTGATAGGGTTTGATTGAATTGAGGGAATGGACCTTCCACAGATTTTGTTCTTTGAATATCTCCATCAAAGTTAATAGCAACGAATGAGAGCAATCTCTGTTGAAATTAAATAATTAAGAATGCAAAGTTAGTACTTACATCTGGCATTCCCTGCTCTTGAGTGTTTTTAGCCATGGTGATATAATTAATTGTATCTTGGGGTCCTTTTTGTAATGTGGCAGCATTAGCTATTGTGTGATCATAGATATTGGTTGGTACATTTGTTGCAACACGAGTTCCCATTTGCATTTCTAATCCAATTTCACTAGCATTTTTCAATCTCTCTTGCCTGTAGTTTCTATAGGTCTCATCATCGTGCCCTTTCCTGACTGGGAAGTTGTATCCTCTTGTTATTTGGATAAGTATATTGCATTGATTAATTTCATTAATAGGAGGTACTTCCTTTTGAACTCTTTTTGGATTTAAAGGTCGGTATTCTTCAAATACTTCAATTATGGCATCAATGGAATGGTGGAATTCTGGGAGTGGAGGCTCTCTAACATATTGAGATACACTAGAAATATTTGTAAGGAAATTAATTTTCCAAATAACTTACTCCATATTTGTCTTCACTAGTCTCTTTGCTTTCTTCATTACAACATTATTTGTATAATTTCTAACTTGATTTACGTATGATGATAATCTTGCCTCGTTGGAGAGTGATTGGATGATCCTTTCCTCATAATTTTTAACATTCCTTGGTTGGATATGATCTAAATTCAAAGAAATCATAGGTAATGGTACCTTTCCTTTTACTTCATCCCTCAATTTCAATAAATGGAGACGTCTTTGGAAAGAAGAACTATTAAATTCCTCGAAAAAGAATAGGTCTTCATCTTGCTCAGCCAAATAAAAACCTTTGCTAGAAAGATCGTCTCTGTCTAATTCATTCAACATGGAAAGAAGTCCAGTGTTTCTTGGGTCATTGGGATCAATGTTGTTTGTTTCCATCCAAGAAGTTATTTGTTTCAGGTTGAGTAAGTCTCTTGCAGTTGGAAGATTCTTCTTTGTTTTTTCGACTGGTGGTTTTGGGGCTTCCACTGTCCGTTCTTCGGATGGCTTTACCCAAGAAATAGAGAGTTTAATACTTCCGTAGGTATGATGACTGGGAGAGAGAACAGGTTTGAATATTTGAAATATTGAAGGAGGAAAGGAGCCTGTTGCCTGAAGATCCCAAACTGGAACATGTGGTTCCGGGGAAGTAAATGAAATTTGTTTTACACTTTCAGTATCTGTTTTACCAGATCTTTCTAAACCTGGAACAGGGACAAAAACATTAGTGAGCGGCTTTTCGAACCATCCAGATTGAGAAATCTGCAAGCTGATTGATTCTGGCCATTTAAAAACGCTAACAGAAACAATTTCATTAAAATTAATTGTGAAATCAGATCTTAGTTGTTGATTGGTAGTTTTACAGACATAGTTTCCATTTACCAATAAATTAATATGGTATGAGAGCATGCTAATTTGCTTCCTTCTTTCGACCTCCATCTGATCGAGTTATTTCATATTTTAAGCAAATACTTACGGGTGGTAATTCTGATTCTTTTGTTATTTCCATTTTCAAAATTTCTGGAACAACAATTGGTTCCCCAGGATATCTTGTTGTTTTCTCTATTCGTGTCAGTATTTTCTTTTTTTCTTCTTCTTTATCAAAATATTCAAGTTTGGGAGAGCTCTTTGCTATCAAATATAGGGAAGAAAACTCTTGCTCCTGTTTTGGAATAAGTTGCTCTCTGAATTCAATTAATTTTTGAATGTAACTCCATCTCATATCCTCTTCCAATTCTTGTAACTCTTGTTCGATTTGGTATTGTATCCTAAAACTGTCATCCTCCTTGTTTTGAGGAATTGTTCTAAATCCCAATTTAACGTTTGTTACGTTATATCTGTTGGTAGATCTAACTTTGCAAAGGGCATTCCAATTTCCAATCACTGAATTTACTAGCATTATTTCTTTTTGCTCCTCATTTTCCAAATCTTGTCTATTTTGTCGTATTTCAGACCTTAGAACAGACATTTCTCTTTCCAACTCTTTTGTTTCTTTTGTGAGATAGCTTAATTCATCAAGTGGGTTTGTTTTTTTTACCGCCTTGTCTTTTTTGCCTCTAAGTCTATCTAGTTCTGTTTGCAAAGCTAATAATCTCTTATGGAAGTATGTATATTTGTCATTTTCTTTCAATTCCTTATACATTTTGAATGCTTCATGTATTTTTCTAGCTAATATTTCCTCCTCACACATTAAAGGGTGGTCTTCAAATAAGACTTCTCTAAGATCTATTTCTATCTTGTAGTGTTTTGTTGCTGTTGTTGAACGAATACTTCTTGTTGGTATTGTCCGTTTAAGAGATATTGTTCTATTGTCAATAAAGTCAAAATCATTTTCTCCAGGTTTTGTGAATACTTTTGCAGTTGGATCCATTTGAACCATGAGTTGTCCATTTTCATCAAAAAATTTTGTTAATCCATTAGATTCCCTTAAAAGTCTATGTTCAAGTAAATGTTGTCCTTTTTCCAACATGAATGGCTTTTTGTCAGCAAATATTCCCTCCTCTTGAGGATCAAAGTATCTATATTTGGAAGAATATTCTTGGGACAGTTTTTCGGTGGATGTTTTCAATTTTTCTGCCAAGCTTTTACATTCTTCTGCTTCTTTAGTTTTTTGTTTTGACAAATAAAATTCTTGAAGCTTTCCTAGCTCTCTAACTCTAATCTGAATTTGTTTAATAACTCCTTCAACCACAGGTCTTATTTCCGAGATTTGTGTCAAGCATTCATTCTGATTTTTCTTGGCTTGTTCTTTTTTTATAACTGTTGGAAACTTTCTCTCTACAATCTTTTCTTCTTGTTTAATATCTTTCTCAATCAACTTTTTTGTGATTGGTTCAGCTTCAAGATAATCTTGAACTGGCTCTTCTGTAGGATGTTCATTTTGTTGGAATTCACTCCTTTCTGGAATCCTTTCCTCTGTTTCGTTGGTTTGGATTACTTGATTTACCTCAGATTCAAGAACTGGTTGCTCTTCTTGTTCATCATCGAAAAGCCTTCTCGTCCTTCTTTTTTTCCTTCTTTTGGTGATGGTTTGATCCACATCCTCCGACCGTTCTTCCTGTTGTTGTTCAATTGCCCCTTCATCATTTCTGGAGGGAGATGTTTTTGGTCTTTTGGGAAAATCTGTTGTTAATTCGTTCTTGCTTTGGGGAATATGTGATGAGGATGGTCTTGTGTTGTTTGTTGGTTCCTCATCAAGGTCTTCCAGTTCAGACATTTTTTTGTATTGGTAAAGCGGGAGTTCTTTAATACAAATTTATTTTTAAATTTTTGTTTGATTTTCAGTCTTCTGCAATCAAAGCAAGCATTTTAGGTAATTTGTTTTTTAGAATGTCAAGATTTTCTGCCAATTCCTCCTTTTCTTCTTTTTCTTTTTTCAAACGGTCTTCTAAAGCAGATATTATTTTTTGATGTTGTACAAAGTTGTCTTCCAAATTTTTGTTTGCTTCCTTTAACAGTTTTATCATTTCAATGCTTGATGATAATTCCTTCTTAAATTTTGAGACTTGTTGGTTGTGTTTGTTCTTTTCTTCTGATTCTTCAGTTTTTAATAACGATAAATTCTTTTCATACCTGTCCATTTGTTCTCTTAATTGATCTGTCAATGTACCAATCTTGTGTTGCTGAGAATGAATTTGGTTTTTTAGTTGTATTTCTTTTTCTTCTGTTTCTCTCTTGAGTTGGGAAAGACTGTTAGTGAGCCTATCAATTTCTTCCTGCATTTTCATCTGTGTATCTTCGAGTGTTGTATTAAATTTTAATCTTTGATTAAAATTTTCTTGTTGCTCCCTTTTAAAGTCAGATTGTAACTTGTCAACCAACAGTTCCAATCTTTCATTTTCTTTTTTCATTTTCTCTCGTGAAACATTTTCAGAGTTCTGCTGTTTTAACAGTTCTGTTGTTTTCTTTTTTTCTTCGCTCATAGCCTTTAACAATTCTTCTTGAACTCCATTGAGTTCCTCTAGCTCAGCTGATTTGATATGTAAATTGGTTTGAGCCTCAATAAGATCACTCTTCATTTTCTCTCTCTCTGAGATTAGTTGCTCACATTGCTTTTGGAGGGAAACTAGTTGGTGAGATAATTCTCTTATTTGGTTTTCTTGGTTTCTAATTTGAATATCCTTTTTTTCTAAATCTCTTTCAACATTTCCCTGGCCATGCTTTATCGTATTTAGTTGTTCTTGAAGAAAGTTCTTTTGTTGGCGGATTTGTTCAGCATATTCTTGTATGGAATTTCTTTCATGTTTTAATTGGTTGATCTCATTAGTTGGATTGCTTGTGTTTTTCTGATTCTTTTTCAACTCCTCTCTTAGAATAAGGTTTTGTTTAGCAAATTCCTCAATTTTTAATAGGGCGGAGTTTCTCTCTTGTTCAAGCAACCTTATTTTTTCCTCTCTCCAAACCACTTCGTACGACATATTACTTGGGAGAAGATCAGTACCAAGAGAATTATCAGATTTAGAAAATGTTTTTGCAGTTGAGATCGGGATTTGTGGAGAACAAATTTCATTGTCATCATCTAAGTACAGAGGTTCATTGGCCGAATAGGGAGTCAAAAATTGTTCAGAGTTAGAATTTCTTCTCTGAACAGGGTAGTTTGTGTTGTGAACAGATGAGGGTGAAGCAAACTCCATTTTTTTAAATGTTAAAATCGATTACTGTTGGCGCGAAGCTCTATTAAAATTAATTTATTTAAATTGAAATTATCCACAAACAATAAAAAATGCTCAGGCTGAATAGTCGTTCCATTCTCTCTCATTTAGTTAATACAAGAAAGTTCTCGACTAACCTGAGAGCATTAGGAGGAGGCGCCAATAATATTCTAAATACTCCAAGAAATAATAGACCTGCACAAACTGCTGCGGAATTCAAACAACAACAAGAAGCTGCACTTGCCGCTGATTCCGAATCACAACAAGATGAAATTTCATCCAAATTAAAAAATAGTAGGGAAATACTTCAACATTTATCAGAGAAAAAAGCATTCACAACACAAGATGTAAATCAATTGGAAGATTTATTGGAAAAATATGTGAAACAAGGAGCTACAAAGGACTCTGCCGTCAAAGGACCACTTCATTTTATTAATGCTGCACTTATCATTTGTTTGATAATTGTGATAATTGCTCGTCAAAGAGATGTCATGTACTATGAAATGGTGAAGGAATTATTATTGGATAGTGAGGATCAATTAGTCCAAGCTAAAGAAGAAATTTCAGAACTAAGAAAGAAATTACCAGAGGAAAGTGTTAACGAAGTTTCCCAAAAAATTGAATCTGGTTCAACAATTTTGGAAAAAACCAATCAACCAACTAGTTCAACCAAGAAACATACTAATATGATTTAAGTAAATATTATAATTTATTGCTTATTTTGTGTTGGTTGATTTGGATTGATAATTATGTTATTGGGATTAGGATTGCCTGAATTAGGCTGTCTGTTTGCAGCAAGAAATGGTGTGCTATTTGGTAATACATAATTAATTCCATAGTTAGCCCTTTGTGGAACTTGTTGAGGATTTATGACACTATTGAGATAGTGTAGTGCTGTAGTTGCTATTCCTGTTTGAACCTGTTGATAGAAAACCTGTTGGATTGGATTACCAGTGGCTACTTGGGCTGTTGGATTGATTGGGTTAACAGTGGTTGGATTGATTGGAGCAACTGGTGTACCTCTTTGGGGTATTGAACTTAACATCTTCTTGATTAGAATGTTGTCAGTAGCACTTCGTGGATTCATTTGCGGATTTACATTAGTGTAAGCCATGGTTGCTTGCTGACTGGTTCCTGCTTGTGGATATTGGCTTGGTGTTGGTACTGTGGTTGGTTGAGTAGAAACATTTGGATTAACTACTGTAGGTGGTTGACCATTAGTTACAGGTGTTTGTGCTGCAGGTTTGTGTAAAGAAGAACCAAGTTTGCTTAATCTTTGCAAAAGGTGAGGTGGTTTAGTGAGTCTATTATCTGTAATATAAGTTTGTAAATCAATTTCATGATCCATTACTAGTTTAGTTTTTCCGTTACTGGTAAACATATCTTTCAATCTTCTTGCATAAAGTTCAGCTGCATGTCTTCCACCAACAATACATGAAGATGGTTGTTCATGTGAAAAAACAGGTTGATTATTTGGTGTGAATGTATGTGGAGGTAAAATGTATGCCTCGAATTTTTTGGTGTTATCTGTTCCACTATTCTCTAAATATGGAAGAATGTCAACTCTCCATGTTTTTGTCTTGTCGTATGACTCGAATTTTAAAATACGGCACCTATTTGGTGGTTTGCAATTGACTAATATTGTCTCCACAATTTTTGCATATTCGGCAGGAATTGACTCTGAAGAAATATTTCTTGGAAATGTTTCATTATCCTTGCTTTTCTTTTGTTTGGATGAGAGTTTCTGCTTCTTCTTTTTACCAGCAATAGAGCTATTTGGTAAATGAAGAAGGGTTGCCTTGTCTTTTCTTGATATTAAACTTTCACTCCATGTTTTAGATTTTGCAATAAAATTAAGTAAGTTATGCTCTTGTTTTGGAGCTCCTCCGGTTGCTGATAATCCTTCCATAGATTGATTATTAGATAGTGATTTGTGTTTTTGAGTAAAATGAACAATAGGTCTTCTTCTTCTTCTAAACTCTGCCTTTAGCTTGTTGTAATGAATAGAGTTGGCAACCAAACTAACTTTTGGATTAGGATCTAAACAAATAGAATTAGTCTTTCTAATGATACTTAAATCATTTTTTACAGTATGCACAATACTTTTTACAATTTCCAGTCTCTGCTCAACAGAAAGGTTCGAAGAAGAGTTATCATCAATAAATTCATAAATATCCTTTTCCAAGGTTGTAGGTTCTGATCGTAAAACTATTTCTTGCAAAGGATACATTTTAGAAGGATTTTCTGGACCTCTCATGTCAATAATATGCACTATAACGGAGCCATCATAAAAATTACAATTAAGATCTTTAAACTCACTGAAAAGATCTGGAACTAGTTTACATTTTGATATTTGAGAAAGAAAAAGCTTGGTCATTTCAGTATACTTTAGACTTTTTGATTGTGAAGAATTAATTTGAGAATTGTCCATCACTTCTAGGATGAAATGGACTGGAAACAATTTGATTACTACAGAAGGAGGTAATCCAGTTAAAATATCTATTTTCTTTTCAAATCTGAAAATTTCGTCAATGTTACTACCAGATAGTATATCTTGATTTGCTTCCAGTATTGTATTTGTACACAAATCTGATAATGACTTATGAGTAGTTTCCTTAAATTTTAGGCCACCTCCATGTAATTTACACAAGCCCTCCATATATGAGGTAGTCAGTTGCTCAGATCTATCAACATATGGAATGGGTTCAGGCTCACCACTTCTTTGTCTATGTATTTGACACATATAACAAGTATTTTTACATTTTTCCCCTTTTTCAGTATTTGTAAGCGAGGAGGTAGAAGAGTTATCAGAAGAAAGTGGAGTAAATCTATAGTTCCTGCTTCCTAAAGTTTTTAGTGATATTTGAAATTTTTTACGTTGAGGTTCTTGTTGTTGTAATGCTTCATCAGATGTATTTGGAGATGTTTTTCTTTTTTTTGTCTCTTCATGTTCTGTTGATACTACTTTTGTTGGTTCTTGCTGAAGCACTTGTTGATCAGCTTCTTGTAATATTATTTGTGCATCAGGTACAGTTTCTTGTATTTTATTACTATTGGTTGTGTCAACTGTAGTATTTGTTGTTTCCGAAGATGAAGATTCCGATTTTTTCTTTTTTTTTGACTCCTTTGCTGGTTTATCAGAGGTACTTTTCTTTTTCTTTGGAGCCATTTTTTTTAATATTTAATTTTTAAAAAAAAATTATTTTAATACAACCCATTTAAAAATAATAATTTGTTTTATTTATTAATATAATTTAAAACAAGGAAGGATAGGTTAGAATGTGTGTTTTGCTTTACACTGTAAGAAATATCGTTTGTGAATTGGGATACTCTTTTTGCAAAGCTTTCTCTTCTTCTCCATTCAGAATCCTCAATATGATTTGGTTTAGCTAGCAGACGAATAAGTAATTGTTGTTTTTGGTCATTACTCAACTTTTGCACTAACTTGTTATCGCTGCTCAAAAATTGTTGGATGAAAACTGAAAAATTTTCCCAATTTCCAGCATTAACCATATTATAAAGTGATGTTATTAATTCTGACTTGTAAAGGTTGTGACTTTTGGCTATTAAAATATTAATAAAAATTGTAGCAAAACAATTCATCATTGAATTATTACCAAAAGCAGGCAAGACTTGTCTGAAAGCTAATCTTTCATAAAGTTTGTTCCTATCATTCAAATCCTCTAACAAAGATAAATTTTTCTTAAAAATAGAAATATCTGTTGAGTAAAATGAATTCAAAAAACATTCCATTATGAAACAGAATTGATCTAAAGTTTCAATACTTGTACATTGTTGTTCTTGAATAACTCCATTCACAATATTAGATATGAAGAAATATTTCATGTTATAATTTAAAATACAATACAATAAGTCATAATAATATGGAAGAACCTCAATTGAGGAAGTATTTCCAATTGTTTTACCTTCCCCAATACTCTTCAACTCTGGATAAATAATATTTTTGCAAGTATGAATTATTTTAGGTATGGTACTGGAAAGCTTTCCACTTCCATCAGATACTACAGCCTTTAAAAGTTTGAGTAATTGTATTAAAACTGTTCTTCCATGATTGTCTTTGATAAAGATAGGCATGGATCCTGTGATAAGTTCCATG